TTCTGGAGCTTCAAAATCTCAGGCACCATACACTTCCATTATAAACTTTTCAAATAAGTAAATGGCCCATCGACAATTGTTCCTTACTTAAAAGTATTATCAATGGCTTTCAGCTTCCTACATGAACTCAATGGAGTTGAATGAGTTGCTTTTATTAAACGTAGAGGGATGCGCTTTTTGGAGCTTCAAAAACTCGGGCACCATTCATTTCTAGTATAAACGTTTAGAATAATTCAATGGCCGGTTGTCAGTTAATCCTTACTTAAAACTATTATCAATTTCCAGTTTCTCACATGAACTCAATTGAGTTGTATAGATTGCTTTTATTATAGATAGATGTGCTATTTGAAACTTCAAAACTCGGGCACCATTCACTTCCATTATAAGCATAGGCTAATCCAGGATCTTAATTAAACTATCTACCTTTAAAGGAAAGAAAAAGTGACTCCTAGAGTAAATTATGGGATCATTTTTGGTTGAGCTATTGATTTAAACCACACCACACTGTGTTTATTTGCATAAACATGACTGAATTTTCAAAGGTTGCAGTTCATAAAATGACTCAAAGTGACACCACGTTTACTCATTTAAGATTAGTTTAACGTACAAACACCATCCGTCAGTTTCCACCTAAAGAAGCTCTTTTTGGGTGACATTGTGGAGCCGCGGAGCTCCATTTGGAGGCTAATGTTGCGTAGCCGATGGCCTCGGATGGAGACGCCAGCAGAAACAGATGGAGGCTCCTCTTGGACGCCGACCATTGATTTCCAATGATTAGCATTAGGAAGCGGCAGCGCTCTTGATTACTGCCTGGCAACCATGAACATGTCCATTGAGTTTTAATTAACAGCAAATGAGACGCATTTCATTAACGTTTGAAAACAGACGTCAAAAGATACTCAAGTCCCGAAAGAGAGAGATACAGTCTAAAATAAGAAAATCTTAATATTATGAGCAGCAGAGGCTTATTTATTGAGGAAATATGATGATAGATCTGGAGAATGAAGCTTGTGTTGATGTCATCATGTGCTAAGATAAATTAACATTATTTACACGCGTCAGGGTGCGAATGAATGAGAAACATTTGCAGTCTATGCATGAAAGATGTGTTTTTTTATTGAATGTGAAGACACAAATGAGTAAATAAATACATAGGCATTCATCATATTTTATACACATGATACAAGCTCTTGAACTTGTGCTGAAAGGCTTTTTTTTTAAAACTGCACTTAAATGATTGAATTGAGTTGAATTGAATTGAGTTTAATTGAATTGAGACCTCAGGGTATTAATGTGGCCACATCATGAAGTGGAGTACTTTTATACATTTTCCGAACAATCCAATGGCCCGTCGTCTGTTATCCGTTACTTTAAACTATTATCTATGGTTTCCTGCTTCACATGAACTCAGTGGAGTTGTATGAATTGCTTTCATTATAGATGGAAGTGCTTTTTGGAGCTTCAAAATCTCGGGCACCATTCACTTCCATTTTCCAATCGTCAAATATTTCTTACTTAAAACTATTATCAATTTCCAGCTTCTTAACCCAATGGAATTGTATAGATTACGTTCATTAAAGATGGATGGGCTTTTTTGGAACTTCAAAATCTCGGGCACCATTCACTTCCATTATAAACTTTTGGAATAATTCAAAGGCTCATCGTCAAATATTTCTTACTTAAAACTATTATCAATTTCCAGCTTCTTAACCCAATGGAATTGTATAGATTACGTTCATTAAAGATGGATGTGCTTTTTTGAAACTTCAAAATCTCGGGCACCATTCACTTCTGTTATAAACTTTTAGAATAATGCAAAGGCTCATCGTCAATTATCCCTTACTTAAAACTATGATCTGTTCCCAGCTTCCTACATGAGCTCAGTTGAGTTGTGTGGATTACTTTTATTATGGATGTAACTGCTTTTTGGAACTCAAAATCTCGGACACAATTCGCTACCATTACAAACTTTTAGAATAATTAAATTGCCCATCATCAACTATTCCTTGCTTGAAACTATTAGCGATTTCCAGCTTCTTAACCCAATGGAATTGAATGGATTACAATCAATTTGGATGGATGGCACCAAATCGGGCATGATTCACTTCCATTATAAACTTTTACAATAGTTCAATGGCTTGTTGTCAATTTTTCTATACGTATAACTATTATCTATTGTTTCCAGCTTCCTACATGAACTCAGCGGAGTTGTTTGGATTGCTTTTATTATAGATGGATGTGCTTTTTGGAGCTTCAAAAACTTGGGCCCCATTCACTTCCATTATAAACATTTTGAAAAATTCAATTCCCATGAATTAATCCTTACTTAAAACCATTATCGATTTCCACCTTGCCAACTCAATTGAGTTGTATAGATTGCTTTTATTATAGATGGATGTGCTTTTTGGTGCTTCAAAAACTCGGACACCATTTACCTCCATTATAAACTTTAGGTATAATTCAATTTCCCGTCATCAAATATTCCTTACTTAAAACTATTATCGATATCCAGCATATTAACTTAATGGAATTTAATGGATTACTTTTGATTACAGATGGATGTTCTTTTTAAAGCTACACAAACTCAGGCACCATTCACTTCCATTATAAACTTTTAGAATAATTACATGGCTCATCGTCAGTTATTCCTTACTTAAACCTATTATGGATTTTCAGCTTCTTATCCCAATAGAGTTGTACAAATTATTTTTATTACATATCTAAGTGCTTTTAGGACCTTCAAAATCTCGGGCACCATTCACTTACATTATACAGTTTTTGAATAATTCAATGGCCCGTCGTCAACTAATTCTTACATGAACTCAGTGGAGTTGTATAAATTACTTCTATTATAGATGGATGTGCTTTTTGGAGCTTCAAAAACTCGGGCACCATTCACTTCCATTATAAACTTTTAGAATAATTTAAAGGCTCATTGTCAATTATGCCTTACTTTAAACTATTATCTTTGGTTCCTAGCTTCCGACATGAGCTCAACTGAGTTGTGTGGATTACTTTTGTTATAGATGTAACTGCTTTTTGGAAATCAAAATCTCGGACACCATTCACTTGTATTATAAACTTTTAGAATAATTCAATTGGCCATCATCAATTATTCCTTACTTGAAGCTATTAGCGATTTCCAGATTCTTAACCCAATGGAATTGTATGGGTTACAATCAATTTTGATGGTTGTACTTTTTTGGAGCTTCAAAAACTAGGGCACCATTCACCTAAATTAAAAACTTTTAGAATAGTTCAATGGCTCGTTGTCAATTATTCTGTACTTATAACTATTATCTATGATTTCTAGCTTCCTACATGAACTCAATGGAGTTGTGTGGATTACTTTCATTATAGATGGATGTGCTTTTTTGGCGCTTTAAAAACTCGGGCACCATTCACTTCCATTATAAACATTTCAAATAATTTCCTGTTTATCGTATATTAATGTAAATTTATACTGGAAAAACACTATCTTTTGGTGCCATGATCAGTTTTGGGGTTTTCATAGCATGTTATTAAATGTAATGTGAATGTGAAACATCCAAAATACCTTTTTAAATGTTCGACTTATAGCACTTTAAAGCAAAAAGTGTCTGCATATTTCAATGATAATACATATTTTGTATTGTGATTAGTCTTGTATTGAGTCATAAATCTCCTCTTTAGCAGCTTACAATAAGCCAGACTTCACAGTTTAATAAATATATCTACAGTATATTCTGAAGGTTTTTATTTAGGGATTTGTTCATGTACATTTAATTCTACACAAATTGTGAAAAGTTTACTGGCTGATTAAAAAGAGATTATAGAAACCTCACATGTAAAGAAAATAAAAAATAAATAAATAAATAAATAAATAAATAAATAAATAAATAAATAAATAAATAAATAATAGGAAAAAAAAAGAAAAATCCAGTGTTCAGATTTTTGTGCTAGAAATTATTGCAACTTACAATATATGTAAAATAAATATCTTGTGCACGTTAAAGCATAACATTTAAAAAAAAAAAAAAAAAAAAAAAACTGGTCGTAGGATGATGATGATGATACATTTTTTTTCACCCTATTCACCAGTCAGTGAATTACAGAAAGCAATTATCTTTGGTCTTATCTTAATATCTAATACGAGTTTGCAAAAAAAAAATATATATATATAAATAAATAAAATAAATAAATAAATAAATCGTAATTTAATGCATTACAGAAGCAAATCTTAAAAGAAACACTTTTTCTTTTTTGCAAATAGGCAAATTTTACAACCCATCTAGGGTTAAACAGTTGAGCTTTTTTTTTTTTAAGCCTATCTCCGGGTCTGGCAATGTATATTTATATTTACTGTATATACAAACAATAATACTGAATTAAACAATCCCTTTAATTTCTTGATGAACTTGAAATTATTGAATTCTCAGGCACCATTCTATTACATTATACATTTTTTTAATCATTCATTGGCCCATCGTCAATTATTCCTAGCTTAAAACTATCTATGATTTCCAGCTTCCTACATGAACTCAGTGGAGTTGTATAAATCACTTTAATTATAGATGGCACCATTCACTTCCATTATCAACTTTTAGAATAAATCAATTGCCCATCATCAATTATTCCTTACTTCAAACTGTTAGCGATTTCTAGCTTCTTAACCCAGTGGAATCTTATGGATTACGTTCAATTTAGATGGATGTGCTTTTTTTGGAGCTTCAAAAACTCGGGCACCATTCACTTCCATTATAAACATTTAGAATAATTCAATGGTTCATCATCAATTATTACTTACTTGAAACTATTAGCGATTTCTAGCTTCTTAACTCAATGGAATTGTATGGATTACGTTCATTATAGATGGATGAGCTTTTTAGAGCTTCAACATTTTGGGCACCATTCACTTCTATTATAAACTTTTAGAATAATTCAATGGCCTGTCACAAATTATTCCTTACTTTAAATAATTATCTATGATTTCCAGCTTCCTACATGAACTCAGTAGCATTGTATGAATAACTTTTATTATAGACGAATGTGCTTTTTGGAGCTTCAAAATCTCAGGCCCCATTCACTTCCTTTATAAACTTTTCAAATAATTCTATTGCCATTGTTTAATTATTTAATTAAAACTAATATCAATTTCTAACTTCCTACATGAACTCAATGGAGTTGTATGAATTACTATTATTATAGATTGATGTACTTTTTGGAGCTTCAAAATCTCGGGCACCATTCACTTCTGTTATAAAAATTTTGAATAATGCAATGGCCCGTCGACAATTATTCCTTACTTAAAACTATTACCTATCATTTCCAGCTTCCCACTCAAAATCTCAGGCACCTTTAACTTCAATTTTAAATACTGAATGAACAATCCATTTAATTTCTTAATCAACTTGAGGTCAAAGTTCGGTTCAGCAGACCCATTACGTGTATGACAGTAATTTCACATCATAAGCTCCTTCCACCTGAAAACAGAGTAAGCATTGTTAATGTGGTGTGCATTAGAGATACTTGTGTATAGTAAACAGTAACTCACGTCGAAGCGTCCGATTGAAGCTGCGGTTTGGCTGGCCTGCATGATCTCAGTGAGAGCCCACATCTGCTGAATGCTGGAGGAAACTGTTTCTGGATCAGGAAGACCCTGATGAAACACACACACAATTATTTATGGTCTATTTATTTATTTTATTTTCAACTAAGTGCCTTTAGTAATCAGGGGTCAACACAGTGGAATGAACCACCAACTTATCCAGCATATGTTTTACGCAGTGAATGCCCTTCCAGCTGCAACCCATCACTGGGAAACCCATACACACTCATTAACACACATACACTACGACCAATTTAGTTCATCAATTCTCCTATAGAGCATGTGTTTGGACTGTGGGGAATCCGGAGCACCCGGAGGAAACCCACGCCAACAAGGGGAGAACATGCAAACTCTACACAGAAACGGCAACTGGCCTAGCCGAGGCTCGAACCAGCGACCTTCTTGCTGTGAGGCGATCGTGCTACCCACTGTGCCAGCCTGATAAATAAACTAACAATTTCTGAAATGTACAGACATACCTTGAAATATCTTGAAACCTTATAATCAGTGTCAGTAAAATAAGATTAGTTATATCAGTTTATAACTAACATGGAAAACCTTTGTACTCTTTGAGTTGCAGATTCAGTTTTGTCCAGCAAGTGGCAGTAAAGCACTGTCATGCAGCAGGGTATCTGCACATTTTTAAACAGGACATTTAATACCTTTTAAGACCTTTTTAAGTCCTCTAAAATGAAAATTTAAGACTTTACCTAAACAAAAACAAAAAAAAAAAAAAACAGGAAAATGTTCAGTGTGTCAACACAGAATGATGTGGTGAAGCATTAGCGTGGCACAACTCACCAGAGCCACGCTCAAGACAGGTCAAAGGGACGCAAAAACTTTTATGTCGAGTGCTGATTGACCTTAAAACCCTGACAACAGGACACCGGTCTCGTCAGTTGACCAACGTCTAAAGTGCAAGTCTAAGTCTTCGTTGCTGCGTTCATGGACTCATTGAACATTATGATGAAAGCGTCCTTGTTTGCTCGTGAAATTAGTTTCTTCTTTAGGTATGGGGCAACACCAAATCGTGCTAAACATACTGTTTTGTCTCTTCCACATGTGAACGTACTCGCACACTCTGAGTCAGGGAACATTGCTTGAAAAACCAGGTGGACGTCCTCATTTGAGGTGTACGAGTGGCGGCGGCTTACGGTTTGAAATACCCACAGTATTTCGGCCTTAAATGTAACTATATTCGCAAAGCTGCTGAAAGCATTGCTTGAAGTGGACGGCCTTGTGGAAGGCTGAGGTCGAAGTGCTCGATGAGAACATACTTATGGGCAAACTACTTGCCTGCGACTACACATCCTTTTTGTGCTTCTCTGCTTTCATGTGTGAATCGAGCGCTTTGCGGCCCATTGTCCCCAGTTTTATCGTCTTTTTAGATAAAGCACACCTCCCTTCATGATTACTGGCTGTTTTCTTTAGCCACCCCCGATACTTTTCGTCCTCCAACCAATTGTCATCAAACAAACATTTGCCCATGCTTGCGATTTCACGAAGTGCTGCCCCCAAATGTTGCGCTGGTCAAGTAGCGGTTGAAAAAAATAAAAAAGACGAGAGACGAGTTGGACATGAAATTTAAGATCCCACATAAAATTTAAGACCTCCTTATGGAAAATTACAGAATTCAAGACATTTTCAGACCTTAAAAATCGACAATTTTATTTAAGACATTTCAAGACTTTTTAAGGACCCGCGGGGACCCTGTGCAGAGGAGAATTATTACTACTGTAGGAATCAATATTCTTCTGAATATAATATTTCATACTTTTAGTCATATGTTGAGATTACTATCTATCTATCTATCTATCTATCTATCTATCTATCTATCTATCTATCTATCTATCTATCTATCTATCTATCTATCTATCCATAAAAAAACATTTTTAGACTATATACAGTGCATCCAGAAAGTATTGATAGCGCTTCACTTTTTCCACATTTGTTTATGTTACAGCCTTATTCCAAAATATATTAATTTATTTCCTCAACATTCTCCACACAACCCCCCATAATGACAATGTGAAAAAAAGTTTTAGAAATTGTTGCAAATTTATTAAAATAAAAAAGCTGTAAAATCACATGTACATCAGTATTCACAGGCTTTGCACAATACTTTATTGATGCACCTTTGACAGCAATTACAGCGTCAAGTCTTTTTGAATATGATGTCACGAGCTTGGCACACCTGTCTTTGAGAATCTTTGCCCATTCCTCTTTGCAGAACCTCCTATCAGGTTGGATGGGAAGTGACAGTGCACAGCCATTTTCCAATGTTTAATAGGATTTAGGTCTGGGCTCTGGCTAGACCAGGCAAGGACATTCGCCGAGTTGTTGTGAAGCCACTCCATTGAAATTTTGGCGGTGTGCTTTGGGTCATTGTTCTGCTGGAAGATGAACCATCGCCCCAGTCTGAGGTCAAGAGCACTCTGAAGCAGGTTTTCATTAAGGATGTCTCTGTACATTACTGCCTTCATCTTTCCCTCTATCCTGACTAGTCTTCCAGTTCCTGCTGCTAAAAAAAATCCCCACAGCAGGATGCTGCCACCATCATGCTTTACTATAGGGATGGTATTAGCCTGGTGATGAGCGCTGCCTGCTTTTCTCCAAACGTAACGCCTGGCATTCACTACAAAAAGTTCAATTTTAGACTCATCAGAGCAGAGAATTTAGTTTCTTATGGTCTGAGAGTCTTTCAGATGGCTTTTGGGAAATTACAGGCGGGGAGTGTCTTCCGTCTGGCCACTCTACCATACAGGCCTGATTGGTGGATTGCTGCACAGATGGTTGTTCTTCTGTAAGGTTCTTCTCTCTCCACAGAAGAGCGCTGGAGCTCAGACAGAGTGACTATCAAGTTATTGATCACCTCCCTAACTAAGGCTTCACTCAGCTTAGATAGCTGGCCAGCTCTAGGAAGAGTCCTGTTATTTCCAAACAACTTCCACTTAAGGATGATGGAGGCCACTATGCTTATTTGAACTGTGAGAGCAGCAAAATTCTTTCTGTAACCTTCCCCAGCCGTGTGCCTCGAGACAATCCTGTCTCTGAGGTCTACAGACAATTCCTTTGTCTTCATGCTTGGTTTGTGCTTTGACATGCACTGTCAACCCTGGGACCTTATATAGACAGGTGTATGCCTTTTCAAATCATGTCCAATCAACTGAATTGACCACAGGTGAACCTCAATGAAGCCGCTGAAACATCTAAAGAATGATTAGTGGAAACAGAATGTACTAGAGCTCAATTTAGAGCTTCACGTCAAAGGCTGTGAATTCTGATGTACATGTGATTTTACAGCTTTTTTATTTTGAATGAATTTGCAACAATTTCTAAAACTCGTTTTTCACATTGTGATTATGGGCTATTGTGGGTAGTATGTTGAGGAAATAAATGAGTTTAATTCATTTTGGAATAAGGCTGAAACATAAACCAATGTGGAAAAAGTGAAGCGATATCAACACTTTTCTAGATGCACTGTAAGTTCATGAAGTGACCACTGTACATGTCATTTTCCTGGCGAAACACTGTACTATGGGTAAACAGTGAATCACTATTTCTCCTCCAGTTCTTCAGATGTTTAAATAAGCATTAAGTTCAGCACTCAGCATCACTAAAGCTATAGAGACACCAGACAAGCATCTTACATTTCTAATGCAAGTGACCCATAGATGAAAACTGGGACAAGGCCACAATGCTCAGGGATTGAAAAACGACAACCATTGAGTTTCATACACTTCCATTAATTATGTTTTCAGTCTGTTTTAAGCCACAGCGTTAATTAACACCTCAGAGGTGCATAAATACATAGAAACTACTGAGACGTGTGTGTGTGTGTGTGTGTGTGTGTGTGTGTGTGTGTGTGTATGTGTGCTGCTAAATGAAATAGCATTAGCAGACTGTAAAAACAGCACTGCGTATGCTGATAAACAATTGATTATACGACACAAAATACTTACTTTAAGATCAAGAGGTTCATCTACAGGCGTAAGAGTGGACAACCAGGCAGGAACATCTCGTTCTGAGTCCTAAATGGAAACATAAAAATAGCATACAAATAAACATTTGCTCAATGACTAGATTAAACTACCTGACAAGAGACTTGTCGCCTATCCACGTTTTAGGATAAAAATCTGGCTTTTAATTGATCATTTGGTATCAGAAGTGGCTTATATGAAAGGGCTCTAGATTAAGCTTATTTGAGCACAATAAAATATGATCTTGCCTTGATATTTAATTATTTAATTAGGACAGTAAGGTCTGACTTTGCTAAGCCAAAAGTCATGTTTTAGTGGAGAAAGTATGAATATTGTATCTGACTCGATCATGAGCTTGGAGGACTGCATCCATACATCTCTGCAATGACTCAAATCAGTTATTAATAAAGTCATCTGGAATGGCAAAGAAAGCGTTCTTGCAGGACTCCCAGAGTACATCAAGATTCTTTGGGTTCATCTTCAACACCTCCTCCTTCATCTTACCCCAGACATGCTTAATAATGTTCATGTCTGGTGACTGGGCTGGCCAATCCTGGAGCACCTTGAGCTTCTTTGATTTCAGGACCCTTGATGTGGAGGCTGAAGTATGAGAAGGAGCGCTATCCTGCTGGAGAATTTGCCCCCTCCTGTGGTTTGTAATGTAATGGGCAGCACAAATGTCTTGATACCTCAGGCTGTCGATGTTGCCATCCACTCTGCAGATCTCTCGCACGCCCCATACTGAATGTAACCCCAAAATAAGATTTCTTCTTCACCAAACTAGACTGATTTCTGTTAAAATGCTGGCTCCATGCAGTTTCCAGTAGGTCTTCTGCAGTATTTGTGATGATTGGGATGCAGTTCAACAGATGATTCATCAAAAAATTCTTCTGCTACTTTTCCAAATAATGAACTAGAAGTCAAGCTTTATTTGTTGCTCTCGCAACTGGAATCGTTGACAAGACTTTGTTAAGGTAGTGTAGTTTGGGGAAACTACTGCTTTAGGCAAAACAAAATTCATACAAACTGCATAACAAAAAAAAAAAAGAAAACTCAAACAAACACACAGAATTACAAAAATAAAACAATTAATATGACAATTAAACAATTAAAATAAAACAAAAATTAAATGAAATTAAAACAATTAAAATGAAAACTAAAATAGGAAATATAAAAGTCTAATCTGCTAAAACAAACAAACCATAAACAATTCAAAAACGTTTTAAAAAGTAGAAAGAAAATGCAAACAAACCAAAGTGAAACAAAATCTGCAGACAGACACAAAAAAGCACAAAGACAAAAAAAAAAAAAAACACCAAACAGAAACAAATGTACAAAATCTAACCTAAAAGGCATTTGAAAAATAGTGTGCCAAACAAACCAAAATCATAAAAAACAAAGTGAAGAGTAAAACATAAACAATAAATTAACCACTAACAAAACAAATCAATTAGTGAATCACTACTTTAATAATAATCATTAAATAAGAAAACGAAACAAACCCAAACTAAACTGTTTTTATTTTTATCAGAGTTAAATCAAATGCAGAACAAAAGCAAGCAAGAACTTTAAACAAACAAGAACAAAACTAAAACAAACACAAAAAGAGAAATAATATTGATTAAAAAAATTATCTAAACATATCTATTTTAAAAAAATAAATAAATAAAAAACTAGCTAAAGCAGAACAAAGAAAATGCAAATGCAAATAAAAACAATTGGCCACAAACATAAAAAAGAAAACAAAAAAGCACCAAAAAAAAAAAAAAACTCACACACAAAAAAACTTCTAACAAACACAGAAAACAAGAAGAAAAATGAATGCATTAACAACAAGCAAGCAAGCAAAAAAAAAAAATTATAATAATAATAATGATAAGTTAATAATAATTAAGTTTTGGTAAAATGCTGCTTCACACTTGAAACAAAACTATTTTTTTTTTTCATCAGAGTTAATCTGGCAGAACAAAAGTAAACAAACTAAAACAAACTTATCATTTTACTCAAAAAGCTAACAAAAGCAAAGTAAAACAAATGCAAACAAAAAAGAACAATATGGATAAGCAAACAAAAACAAACAAAAAGCACACCGGTCAACTTATAAAAAAACAACTAATTAAAATAGTCAAAAACAAACCTTTTATTTATAAAAAAATATAATAAAATAAAACATCAAACAAACCTAAAAAATAAATAAATAAATAAATAAATAAATAAATAAATAAATAAATAAATAAATAAATAAATAAATAAATAAATAAATAAATAAATAAATAAATAAAACCAGGCAAGTAAAAAAATAAATAAATAACTTTTATTGTATGTTTTGACTAAATCTAAGGAACCGAGGAAAAAAAAAAAAAAAACTGCCAAGAACTGTTGAAAGTTACATCTACATAAAAAGGTTTGCAATGCATACAGTTTATTTTACATTAGGACATAAATGAGAATGTTTTCCGCACGTACTTCTTTTGTGCAGGGATAAATGTTGATCTCCTCGATGCTGAAGCTGAGCCATTCAGAGGAAGGCTGTCGCAAGATGAGTCTCACTGTCGTCACATTATCAGGCTCCGTCGACATCTGAAAACACCAAAAAAACAGAGAAGAAAAGATCTCGGCAAGAACTGACACGCATTGGGAAAGAAATCCTGCAGCCTCTCATGCAGCTATCAAACCAAACAAAGGAGGTTAAATTAAGAGGGAACATCAGAATTGAACACCGAGGACGTGTCTCCAAGCCTTAATTAACAAGACGGAATGAAGACCCGATAAAAGACACAATGCTTTCACAAGTTTTACGCGGTAATCTGCAAAAAGAGAACTGCTCCAGATACTTGACGCTTGTGAAGTTAAATAATATTCATGTTCCCTGCAATGATACTTGAAGGATCGCTTCTGTGCATTTATTTCTTGAAGCTTTCTCATGTTGGTTGTTGAAAGATCTTCTCAAAGCAATTCTCTACATTTAGGTAAAGGCGTTGGGGGTTTTCTTTTTTTATAAATATTTCCCAAATGATGTTTACCAGATTTAGGAATTTTCCACAGTATTCCAATAATATTTTTCCTTCTAGATAAAGTGTTATTTGTTTTATTTCGGCTAGAATAAAAGCAGTTTAAAATCAATATTATTAGCTCCCTTGAAGAGCCCCTATTATGGGTTTTTGAGAAGGATCTTCATGCAGTGTGTAACACAGCTTTAAGTGAATGGAAACATCCAGCTGAGGATTACATCTGAAAGTGCACCGTATTTAAAACCTTCGATTCTTTAACAAAATAAAGTTCATCGACAGTCAAGGTGATACAAAAATCCGAGATGAGCTGGTGTTATTTAGCAGTTGTAATCTTGTTATAACATAGCTTAGAATGTTGCGACTGACCAATCAGAAGCGAGTATTCCAGACAGCTCTGTAATATATTCGGATAACATTACGCGGTCGCTTGACAGAATAGGCCAGGTGGCTGTGAATACGCTTTTACAGCACATTAATGCTGTTTTCTTGTGGTTAACTGTTACTGTGTAAATACAAATGATGGATTCATGTTTCTTGCAAACCTGGAGACGCTTTCCAGCTCAAAACTAACAACGTTCATCCAAATACAGCACACAACTAGCTAATCGGCTAAAAAGTCTTTGATTGACAATAGTAATGAGCAGTGCACTGTGCTTTTTATGTTACTAGGCAACCACTGTACCAATGGTCTTCATGCTGGAGCTCATGACATCAAAAAATTGAGGTTTTAAATTCATTCATACCGAAGATTAGTGTCAAAGATTTTGCACTGTATTAAAGATCAACTTATCTTTACATATGAATGAATTGAAAACACTTGCAACGTGCGGTAGTGACGAGAGCAACCCAAGCTCATTCTGAAAACGTAGTCCCACGGACGTTTCTGGAGACAGCGGAAAACGTCCCGGGGGGTACGTACGGCCGCGTTTATTTTTTTCAAGCAAATGCTGCGGGGCGGTGTGACGTTCCCTTTCGCGCTTGCCTTACCTCCTTGTCGAGGGCTTCCCTGCTGCAACCCGTTTGTCCATTCGGCTCAGCGTGTACGTCGGCAGGCTCGAGATGCGGAGAGGGGTCGACCACGGCGACCGGTTTCGAGTCCGGGGAAGAGCAGCTCCAGCAATCAGGTAAGACAAAAACAGAATCCCAAAAATTAAGTGAACGAGTTTCGTGACAGGGCGAGAACGCGGTGGAAAAAAAAAAAATCAGGGCTTTTATTTTTTTGGACAGCTTTTGTAAACTGTTACTCGGGTTCAGGGAAGCGAGCGGGCGGGCGGGTCGATCAGTAAAATTGGTTGGGTTCAGGGAAGGAGGAGGGCGAGTCGGCCGATTGGCCGGTCGCGCAGTCAATCATCCGGTCAGTCGGACAGCGGCCTCCGGCGGGTTCACGCAAGAACAGCGCGAGCGCGTAGAGGCGTCTGAGGTGCGAAAAAGCACGCAACAGCAGCCTCTCGCGGATTCGTGATAACAAAAACTGCAGCCGTACGTACCCGCCGGGACGTATTCCGCGGTCTCCAGAAACATCCGCAGGACTACGTTTCCACAATGAGCCTAGGTTGGACGAGAGGATGATGTGTGTGTTTGTATTTGTGTACCATGTCTGACGGGGATATTTATATCCCTACCCCCTCACACTCTGTTAAGAGGGTCAGGGGGAAAGCGAAGGGGTGTAATTTAGATTTGGGAAAATAATAGTGAGGCAATGCAGTGGCGCAATAGGTAGAGCTGTCGCCTCACAGCAAAAAGGTTGATGGCTCAAGCCTTGGCTGGGTCAGTTGGCGTTTCTGTGTCAAGATTGCATGTTCTCCCTGCATTTGCGTGGGTTTCTCCGGGTGCTCCGGATTCCCCCACAGTCCAAAGACATGTGGTACCAGCGCGTGCAGCCTCTCTCTATGTGTGTGCGTGCTGCAGTGTTTCTCTATAGGCAACTTTTCCATGCGTTTTACATCTCAGATAATGAACTTGCAAAAGATTTGTGAACAATTTATGTTACTTAGAAATGCATATTCTGAATATATGTGAGACATCATGTAACGCGTCAAGTTAAAAAAAAAATACAGAAGAGCTCGCCTAACTCGTTTAGCAGCAAAAAAATAAATCAAGGCTTACACAGGTCGCATCCCACATATTGTGCTTTATTCTTCTGTCAGCACTACAGAAAATAACTAAATCCGAGCATCAAAGAAAAAGAATAAACATCGGCCCTACGCACATGCGCTTCTTGTGTTACATGTGTCTACAAATCATAGTTCATAGTATACACACGCACACACATTAACACACACTCACACAATGAAAAACTCTCTTAAAGGAGCCGCACCCCATTTTCACTCGTTACAGACACTTGTCAGATGTTATTTTAGAAAGCGGGCATAAGGTTGACTGACTGTTTACACAAAACACACGTGCTTGTATGGCCATGAAGTGGAGCTGATCCGCGAATTACAGCACATTATGACGCATGACCAATCAGAGTCACTTGAGGGCGGGCCTTTCAGAGGAACTAGAAAATATATCAGTAGTTTTCATGTCAGCTGAGTAGCTGTATATAATCAAAGTGAGATTTATAAAAAAAAATAGGTGATTTCCTTCAAGTGAAACATGAGCACACATTGCTTTGCATCCGATTAACCAAGTCTTAAAATTACATTCTGGACCACCCCTTTAATAGGATTAAAACAAAGTTGTGAACAAGAAAAGTGAACACAGGACCTTAGTTATTGGTATTAACAATGCACTCTCATAGTCAATGGTTACAGGTGTCCAACATTCTACAAAATATCTCCTTTTGTGTGAAAAAAACAAACTCAAACTGATATGGTACAAGTAAAGGGTGAGAACATGAAAAAAAACGGGGTGAACCATCTCTTTAATGGCCATGGGAAAATGTAGATAAACCATTTCTGCTACAGACACATAGGCGATAAAGTTAAACAAATAATATTTACTGTAGTGAACTGAAAGAGTTACTATCCAGCAGACAATGTTGTCAAACAGATTGCAATGTTTAGGCTGCGGCTGACACGACCTTCACCAACCAAGAAAATCTCACAGAAAGAATACTCCAGAAACAGTGACGCAGCAAAAACACAACAAACTAAATGTGTCACTGTTCCCCCACACTGGGAAGTTACTGATGCAGTGGAGTCGCAGACGCTGCCAACACTGACAGGCTGATCTGCTTGTTTTCTGAAAGATTTGAAGAGATTTTGAAGACCATCTCCAGTGAAACCATGCAGATCATTCACACTGTGGCTTTTAGCATGTACCACTTTTGTTCACAAACATTGACAATTCTGACATCTTTTATTCACCCTGATGCGATTCTGAACCCATAATAATAATAATAATAATAAAAATTATAATAAAAATTATAATAATAATAATAATAAAACAAAATAATAATAATAATAATAATAATAATAAGAAGAAGAATTCAAAAAATAATCATTATTGCTGTTTATTTATTTATTTATATTTATTATAATGGAATTAATAATAATAATAATAATAATAATTATTATTATTATTATTATTATTATTATTATTATTATTAGTAGTAGTAGTAGTAGTAGTAGTAGTATAAATGTTCTTCTTCTTATTATTATTATTATTATTATGTGTATGTATTAATATGCATTTATTTTTTGTTCATTTATTATTATTAAAATTGTTGTTTATTAGTTTACTTATTATAATGGGCATAATAATTATTATTATTAGTAGTAGCAGTATTACTATTATTATTAATATTATTAATAAAAGTAAAACCCTAAAACTAACTAACTTTGTTTTTCGCGCAATATTATTATTAAAAAAAAAATAAACAAATAAAATAAACCTGAACCTGAAGAGTGGCTGAACAAAGCAGCCCCCCAAACATTTCCAAAATAGATATGTAAAAAAAAAATCATCATTTCAGTTTCGCATTAGGAAAGAATCCTTACGTTTAGGAGCAAATGATGACAGAACTTTAATTTTGGCTGAAGTAATTCTTTTAAGTAGGTCAATGGTTCGAGCCTCGGCTGGGTCAGTTGACGTCTCTGTGTGGAGTTTGCATGTTCTCTCTGCATTCGTGTGAGTTTCCTCCAGGTGCTCAGGTTTCCCTCACAGTCCAAAGACATGCGGTACAGGTGAATTGGGGAAGCTAAACTGGCCGTAGTGTATGAGTATGAGTGAGTGTTTATGGATGTTTTCCCAGTGATAGGTTGCAGCTGGAAGGACATCGCTGCGTAAAACATGTGCTGGATAAGTTGGCGGTTCATTCCGTTGTGGCGACCTCAGATTAATAAAGGGACTAAGCCGAAAAGAAAATGAATGAATATATGAATAATTCTTTAAAGTCTTCTTAAAGCTCAATGTAAGTGAGAAGCCGTGTCCTTGTAATTACAGCCCACGAGGACGCTGTTTTTTAGTTATTTCTCTGCTCCTTAATAAAATCTTATTTATCATTGCAGTGCCCGCTGACATCAGAAAAGCGCTTATACAGATTATGGCAGACGGGGTGAGCTGCATGGCATCCCAGGTGGCTTTTTTCAATGCAAATTTCATCTGGTGACAGTAAAGGTAGGCCACAGAGCTGCGGGTTCAGTCCAGGACACGTGTCTAATATCTCAATGTCTTTGAAACGCAGCGTCGAGGGAGTCTGATCTTTTAAAACAGTCATTACAGGGAACTCGCAGATCAAAGAGCGGGACATCAGATCCCGGGAGATGCACAAATGGGCCAAATCACCGTCACAGCAAACAAAATGTTCAGGGAGCTGCAGCGATTATGCTAGGATGGCTGACAAAACTGTTTGGTGCTTTTCTTTTCTTTTGTTTAATTGAAAAACATGATATCCTGCGGACACAAATGGTTGAGTTGTCTCAAAGGGAATTATTCAAAAAGAGTATTTTTGTCTGCGTACAATGGCAGTCGTTTTGTTTTTGTTGCATAAAACAGTGTTTCTCAACTATGTTCCTTAGGGGAGCACCGGCTCAGCACATTTTCCATGTCTCCTTAACCAAACACACTTGATTCAGATCACCAGCCCATTAGAAGAGACTGAAAGACCTGAAAGACAAAGGAGACATCCAAAACAGGCAGTGTTGGTGGTCTTCCAGGAACGTGGTTGAGAAACACTGGCATAAAAACACTCCCATTCAAGCACAATCTGACGAGTTTGTAGTTTAGAAATGTATGGTTGGATTTAGAGCAGACCAGAGACATTAAGGGCCCTATCATACACCCGGCGCAGTGTGGCGCAAGGCGCGGCGCAATAATCTTTTGGTAGTTTCAGCTTGGCGCAAGAGTGGTTTTGAGGCGTTGCGCTACGCTGTTTAAATAGCAAATGCATTAGCGCTCATTTGTGCGCCCATAGGCGTTCTGGTCTAAAACGGAAGGCGTTCTGAGGCGGACCGCTGGCACGTTGCTATTTTGAGAAACTATAATAGATTTTTCAGTAGACCAAAACTAACCCGGTCTAAACTCCGGCGCAGAGATATATATATATATATATATATATATATATATATATATATATATATATATATATTTCAGATATAGACGCGCGGCGAGCGCAAGGAAGAAACCGAAACCGCTCGCGCGTCAGACTGGCTCGTAAAAAAACTGCGAGGCACAGGGTAGATTCTGCTCTAATCCAAGGCTGTGTGGCTGTTCATCAGGACGATGATATATGAATATTTAATTCTGCTGTAATCTCTCGCTGTGTATTTCAAACATGGCGGGTCCTTTGTTTACATTCTGGCTTGTTGTAAGTAAATGACGTATCTCTGTAAACCAAAAGGATTCAGCTTCGCGTCTAGCTCCACCTTTTGATACCCTTTCTTGTGTTTGGGACCCTTTCGAAAGGGTCCCGAAAAAGTGGTACGGTACGGTTTGGTTCGGTACGCCTTTTGACAGTGGAAACGGCCATAAAAGCGTACCAAACCGAACCGTACCACTCAGTGGAAACGGGCCATTAGTGGCGGCGGGGCCCTAAGCAGCCGCTTAGTTCGCTTAAAGGGGTGGCCGGCTATGGATTCAAATGTAAATGAAGAAAAGGAGAGGAGTGAACTTTCCTGTATTCCTTCCTGGTGAGGTGTAGAGCCAATTGTCTCTGTGTTTCAAGCCTTGTATCATCAAAGACATCAAAGTGTCTGTGGTATCTCAAATCTCACATAATGTTGTAAAAACCAACAACATTTGTGGGAAAATAAGATTTGTGGCTGCATTTCAGCTGGTAAACAAGTATTTATCTTGATCTTTCGCCAGGTTTTGCGATCTCTCTTGATTACCTTGTCTTACCTGTTGTCTATAGATGGAGAAATAGTCATGTGACCCAGCCTCGGCGTGTGGGTTACCCATAAGGCAGTAGTTTTTCAGACACGTGACCCACTTAGATGCAGTCGAGCCATGCCTCCTCTGCAAACGCACTGTTAGATAAGCCGTGTAGAAGTTCTTGAAGGAAATTTCCTGAATCTAGACAGACATGAAAGGGAGATCAGACATAAATAAAGCCTCGCTGCTGCTGGATCAGTGGTCAGTCAATGATGCTCACGTTCACAGGCTCGGCGAGGGTGATGTCTGTAATATAGACACCGGGACGAGAGGAATCAGATACTGCATCTCCAATCTGCAAAGCCACAGGAGACTTCACTGTGCAGCTGACTGATTCAGCACTCATCACTGACCTGAGATAAGACAGATATCAATCACAGTTACAAACCTCATAAGGTCCATGGTATTGATCAACACATAGACACAACATCAGGCTTTTTTTATTTATGTAAACTTTATAATAATAATAATTATTATTATTTTTGCTATTTTTATTCCTTATATTATTTTATTAAATTATTGTATCATTATTATTATTGTTTTTTACAGATTTTTATATTTTATAGTTTGTTCTATAATAATAAATATCAAAAAAGACATAATTTATAAATTAACTAACAATGATAATAATAATAGCTATTTATTATCAAATCTGTCAAAACATTGGTCATAAACAAATAGGTATATAATATTAGCACAAATGGCACAAATATTTTATTTTATGATTATAATACAATGTTTATTTGACAATTGTGAGATTTTTTTTAACACATCTATAACACATCTTGTATTATTTGTAACATTACCTAATAATAATTATTATTATTATTGTTATTAGTATTGGTTAACTATTATTATTATTATTCGCTAATTAATATTATCATTAGTTAATTATTATTAGTGGTAGTATTTATATTATTATCATTAGTATATTATTATTACTATAACCACAAACTTGGTTACTAATCAACTCAGATATATATATATATATATATATATATATATATATATATATATATATATATATATATATATATATATATAATCATATTAATAATATTTAGATTTTTTTCATTTTTTTTTCTCTTTAAATTAATTATTTAAACAACCTTGTAATGTCATTGTAGTTTTAACAGTTATCCTTTGCTGTTCCTGTATTATAATAATAACTTTTTGTTATAAGATTTGCCATTTAACATTGGTCAGAAATAGTTATATAATATTACCACAAATGTTAATTTTACAATTGTGATATATTTTTTTACATTTTAGAATTTACTAAATATTTTTAAAACACAGCTTGTATTATTTGTAATACTAACTAATAATAATTATTATTAATATTATTATTATTATTACATTTTGTTTGTTTATTATTAAAAAAAACAAGTTGATCAGGAGCCAAGTTTGTGGTTCCTGATCAACTTATATATATATATATATATATAATCGTATGTCATTTTATTTTTACACTTACACTTAGTTTTTTTCCAGTATAATAACAATAATGATGCTAATATAAATAATATTTTATCATTATTATTTTAATAGAAAATAACAATTTGACCTTTAAATAAAATGTTTATTTGACCAGTGGTAGTATGTGTTAATGTTACATACAACAAAAATAATACTTTACAGGACAATTTTGTCATCTGTTTTTGTAATAAGTTATTTTAAAAACAATCTCATTGGTTTGTATTATAAATATTTATATTTCTACACAACATACTGTAGGTCTGTTTTTACCTTGAAGGACATAATAAACAAACCTTCAAAACAAATAGCACATTAAATACTGCTTTTGACGTCGCTCAATGATGATGTTGTCTAGCTAGGCAGCTCCCTGAGTTTTGAAACGCGTTCATTGCGCAGCACTGCAGTACTTACTGTAACGTTACTATATTCAGCTGTCTGATTCGTTCTTCGGACTAAATTTATCTTGTATCGAATAGCCTGGTCGTGCCCTTAAAAGGTGTCGAGTCTCTCTTTACAGAGTCATTTCAGTCATCCGTGCAGGAATGAAGAGCAGCTTTATTGTGATGGTTCGTGTCTACTAGTGTTGATAGACGCAGCTCCGCTTGTAGCTTCCGGTCCGGCGTGTGACGTCTTTCTTAAAGGGCCAGTATCATAAAGGTGTAAGCACAGGCTAATAATACATACGTAATACATCAACATAATAAAATACAGCACTATAAACGAGCCTCTCATTTAGTAAATATTTAAGTTATAATAAATCTTAAATCATTCATTAATTCATGAAAAACATTTTATTCTCTGATAATTTCCTGGCAGTAAACTGGTTTAAACTGGTTCTTGCTGGTCATGAGCCGGTGCATTCTGGTTGTGAGCTGGTTAAAACTGTTTACTGCTGGTTGAGAGCTGATTTAATGTGGTTCTTTCTCCCCATGAGCTGGTTTGAACTGGTTTTGCTGGTCATAAACTGGTTTAAGATGGTTATTGCTGGTTTTGAGCAACTTTAAGCTGGATCTCGTCTGTCCTGAGCTGATTTAAAGTGGTTATTTCTCACCATGAGCTGGTTTGAACAGGTTCTTACTCTATGTGAGCTGGTTTAAACTAGTTATTGCTGGTCTTGAGGTGATTTAAACTTGTTTTTACTGGTTCTGAGCTGGTATAAAACTTGTTGCTCATTGCAAACTGGATTAAGATGGTTCTTGCTGGTTATGGTTATCTCGTCTCTCCTGAGCTTATTTAAAGTGGTTACTTCTCACCATAATCGGTTTGAACAGGTTCTTACTGGTTATGAGCGGGTTTAAACTAGTTATTGCTGGTCTTGAGCTGGTTTAAACGTGTTTTTGCTGGTTCTGAGCTGGTATAAAACTTGTTGTTGCTTGCAACCCTACTGAAAAAAACACTGGTCGACCAGGTTGGTTTTAGAGGGGTTTTGGCCATTTCCAGGCTGGTTTCCAGCCATATCCAGCCTGGTCTTGGCTGGTCAGGCTGGGAGATGACCAGCTAAAACTAGCTTGACCAGCCAAGCCAGGCTGGGAGCCCAGCCAAAACCAGCTATGTCCAGCTTAAACTAGGCTGGTCAAGCTGGATTAAGCTGGATTTAGCTGGTCATTTCCCAGCCTCACCAAGAGTTGATTGGAACTGGTTGGTCATTAACTGGTGTAAGCTGGATATTTTCGGTTGTTAGCTGGTTTAAACTGGTTATTGTTGGTTAGCAGCTGGTTTAAACTGGTTCTTGTTGGTCCTGAGCTAGTTTAAACTAACTCTTGCTCACAATGAGCTTGTTTAAACAGTTTTTTGCTGATTGTGAGCTGGTTTAAACTGGTTATTGTTGGCCTTGAGCTGGTTTAAACTGGTTGTTGTTGGCCATGATCTGGTTTAAACTTGTTTAAGTTAGTCTTGAGCTGGTTTAAACTGATTCTTGCTCACCATGAGTTGGTTTGAACTGGTTCTTGCTGGTCAAGACCTGGTGTAAATGGGTTCTCTGTGGTTGTTAGCTGGTTTAAACTGGTTACTGTTGGTCGTGAGCTGGTTTAAACAGGTTCTTGTTGGTCCTGAGCTGGTTTAAACTGGTTCTTGCTCACGGTGAGCTGGTTTACACTAGTTCTTGCTGGCTGTAAGTGTAACTGGGGCCAGCTGGTAGGTGCTGTGCAGGTAAACCTCACTCCTCTGACCTCTAAAGGTGCTCTAGTGACAGTTGCTGGAGGCCATGGTCTTTAGCCTTCTTGTTAGAGCAACCGACTCCCATGCAGAAGGTGAACGCTTCGATACCAGGTTGGAGCGGGTTAGGTGGCATAGGACCAGTGGGGAAACATTGGTGCTGTGACCTGGATGGCAGTGAGGTTTAGGGGGGTGAATGTAACGTAGGCCACCTAGTAGTTGCTGTGCAGGTAAACCTCATTCCTCTGCCCTCTAAAGGTGCTCAAGCGAAATACACTAGAGGTCCTGGTCTTTAGCCTCCTTGGTGGAGCAATTGACTCCCATGCGGAAGGTCATCAGTTTGATGCCAGCTCGGAGCGGGATGGGTGGCGAAGGATCAGCAAAGTTAAATAGGCTGGCTTAATTTGGCTCTTGCTGGTTTCTTTCTGGTTATCTGCTGATCTAAAGTACCAACAAGAACCAGCTTAAACCAGCAGTAAATGTCAAAACCTATAACCAGCATATTGGTTTTATCAGGGAGGTTATGGTCTTATTCAAAACTAACCAATTGTAAACCACCAAACTGGAAACATATGGGGACATTAGGGAAGTTTTGTGTTTGCTATGATGGTTCTTTCTTTTTTTTTCTTCCGTTTTGTTCTACATTGAAGTATATCATTGGATGCAGCCTTTCTGATGTTAAGGAAGGTCTCTTTTTTATAAGCCAAGCTGTTCACACACTGGCTTAGTAAACAAAACATCAAGAGCGAATATCATTACCAGTATTAAAGTAAACACTAAATAAATATATTTCCCTCAAGCACATGTGAATGAGTAAAGCTGTTTATCTAAAAGCTAGAGGCCAAATGAAAAGAAAATAGTATAATAAATGCAGCAAAACACCTGTTTCTGTGCATAATCCAACTGTGAATTAAAAAATAGTTTCTGTATTTTCAATTAATTATAGTCAAACTCAATTCCTCAGTATATATATATATATATATATATATAATTATTATTTTTTTTTTCTCTAGATATGGCACCTCTGTTATTAAATTCACTTTATTTTTTTCATGATCGTTTCTCAATGTCACCGGAAGAGGGCACTAACGCACTTTACTTGCAACATACATGCTGCTGTGTGGTACAGTATGTGCTAAACCTAGTGCTGAGGACTCTATGATTGGTTTTATCTCTTATATAAAACACATTTCTGTTCCTGCAACGTGTCTGTTGTTCAGCAAGCGTGACATAACATGCTCTTTCTCTGTCAAAGTCATGATAATTAAGGATGCATCGAGTAAGGAGATTCATGCTAAAACTATTGTTCATAGGCTATATGCCCTGGTGACAAAATGTTTTTTTTCTTGTGTCATAAGTGGGCATGTATATTTGTAATATTCATTATAAATTGAAGTGATATATTATGCAAATGTTGTGTTTAACATTATTATTATTATTATTATTATTATTGTCAATTTTTTGAATAGAAAACAATTTTAAGCCAATCCCGTGTTAATTTCTATTACAGTTTTTTAAACCATCGGACTGTAAACATTCATCATTATTATTATTATTACTATTATTACTATTACTATTATTAGGTTATTAGTGTTTTTGTTGTTATTTTGAACTAAATACAGGAACTCTCAAACGTGCGCGCGCCCCCAGGGTGTTAAACTGGCGCGTAACCAAAAACCAGCTCCTCTTTTTTTTCTGCAGAATTGAGATTTAAAAGCCATGCTCTTCCCTGGGTCTGTTCGGAAATGGGAAAAACAATGTTTCGCAGTTGGACCAGGACTGGCCTGCTGAAACAGGTAGTATTTAGACGCAGGGTATATTTTACGAACGCTGTGCTCATGGTGTTCCCGCGTTTGTTCATCACAACCGGAGGTTTTTGCACGCGATCCAGCAGACCAAAACAAAAGCCCGAGTATTAAACACCCCCTCGGAGATGAGCTACATGGTTCGCTCTGGCTGAAAAGCAATGAAAAATCCCTTCAAGGACAGCCTGGAGGAAAGGAAGACGACTCGGAGGGGAAGGATTTATCATCAAACGTGTTTCCAAATGAGCCACTGAGAGCCAGAGCTCACCGTGCGTTTGACTAGATCAGATATTGACGTGTTTGGTGGGAGCTGCGGTTTCTTTGTTTAGTGTCATTTCAAACTGACACGGCACTTTCCACACTGTAAATTCCCATATGATTAATAACAATTAGTAAAGCTAGATTTTTGGCCTGCTAAGTTTCAACAATCAGCAAACAATCCTTTTCCCACTATCCCATGACACACACAGTAATATAACGTTAGAGGTAAAGTTGGTTTTATATTCGGATATTCAGGCATTCTAGTTAATAATATAATTTCAGAAAATTATTCTTTGCTAATTCTAAATAGGGAAGTCATATTAGCACCAAATGACTATCAAAGTACAACATATTCATAGTGAATTAGTTAGTGGTAATCAGTGTTGGGCAAGCTACTTGAAAAATGTAGTGAGCTAAGCTATTAGCTAACTTACTCTACTTAAAATGTAGCTTAACTACACTAAAAGCTACCCCCTGGGAAATGTAGCAAGCTAAGCTAAAAGCTACAAAGCAAAAGTAGCTTAGCCACATCCAAGCTATTTTTGCTATTTTTATTTTGAAATTGAAGCAACTTAAATCCAAGTCAATCATATCTTGGTGATCAATAAAACTGTCAATGAAACATGAGGCATAATAGTTCAGTTCAGTTATTTACTGTGAATAGTATGCTGTACTAAACAGAAACACATTATAGTATAACAGCTAAAACAAAAAATCCAATAAAACCAGTTGTTACTCATATAAAATACTATAGTAAAGGGAATTTTTTTTGGAATTATATATATATATATATGGGCTACGTTTGAATTTAAACGTACTACTCAGCCTCTACACAGTATGAATGTGAAAAGTATGAATGGAATTCGGACGTACTACATCCGCCATTTTGTCATGGTCACGTGACCTACCTGCGTCAGTTGCGTCGCCTCACTTCAATTCATGAATTCTCACGGGGCATTATGGGATAGCGCAGCGTGCATGGGATGCGCACTTCAGAATCTCGCCGGAAGTAGTAAGTCATCCGGATACTTCTCTCCTACTGATTTTCGAATTCTATGAATTCGGACATACTACTCAGCTCGCATACTGATTTTAGCGTACTATATAGTATGGAAGTATGCGGTTTCGGATGCAGCGATGGATTTACTATCACTGGCTACACACCGGCCTCTCAGCTCCGTGAATGTCGGTGCCGTCACTTCTTGATCCGTGATCTGTATATGTAGCTTGTGTGGACGCTACTGCGCTACTTGACTAATAAAATAGCTTCGCTACTGAAAAGCTATTTGATTTAGAAAGTAGCGACGCTACCGCCAAGCTACTGAGAAATGTAGTTAAGCTAGTAGTGTCACTACT